ATATCAGATGGGTTTTTGTGGAGATTGTAGTAATTTCAATGGTTAAGATCATGAGTCAGTTGAAGCTAGACCACCATTGAAAACCTGGAAGCACTGGCTGACCGTTTCGTCTTATTGTGGGACTCCTCCGAAGTTCACATCCACCATTCATGCCGTGACCAGTTGAGCTAATCCGTGTCGGGTAGGGATAGGTGTCCACCTCAGTACAATGGAAGATGGCCGCGCAATTTCGTGGATTGGTTGAGGTTAGACAATGACACCATTGAATGCTGGCTCAGTGGTCTAGAGGTTAAGAGTTCGTGCGCGAGACCGAAAGCACTGCTGAGGAGTCCCACAACAGGACGAAACGACGTCCAGTGCTTCCAGGTTTTTAATGGTGGTCTGACATTAGTCATTTTATGATCTCAGTCAATTACTAACTAGGCTATTAAAAATAATACTCGTCAAATAAATAATCCATAGAATTTGATAGAATTTTTTTTCAAAGAAAGAAATCATTTCATAAATCATTTGAGTAATGAGGATTTATTTTAGTTCCCTTTGCGCACTTATCAATCAGTACTTTGATATTACTTCAATTATTATTCATTAAGTAGGTTTTTGTATGATTAATTTATAGGTGGTTTTATAAAGATTTAATGTAACTTAAAAGTAATTTAATAATATGAACTAGAAATTTAAAATTAAAGAGGGCTGGACAAATGTTGTGTTCTAAGTTGAAACCCCTTAATAATGGCCAAATGCACGGCAGGATTAAACCCAATTTTTTCAATCTCTTCAAGGTTATACAACTACTGAATCATTGGTTTTGAATTCATACGTTTGAATTTACGTCTCAAACCAATCCATACTCTAGTTTGACGACTACCGGATATGGTCAATAAGTTATTATTTCACTATCGACTTTAAATTATGACAAATCTCCCTGAATTGCCTAATCATTAATGAGCATATACTCTTTAAGAAAGATTTTGGAAATTTTTTATTAGGAGTCGTAATCTGCCCAGTGATTCAAATTGATAATAAAACAGCAACTCCATGACCACCTTAAATAATTATTGTGTTACATCATAGACTGAATATATTTGAAAACAAGAGCCACTGGAATCTAGATTTGTAACTGAGTAACATCATCATTTTAGTAAGATCTGATTATGCCGAGTACTATCTTGTATAGGATGGTGATTGCATACTTCTGAAAATCAAGTAAAAAAAGGACAAAATAAAGAATCATTACTCCTGGCTTCTCAGAATTTTTCCATTTGTCACTTCGTGACGATAACTGTCTTGAAATGTTTCTCTTCATAAAATAACAGAATTTAAAAAATATGCTTTCGTCTGGTCAAATTTTATGCCTGTAGATATCACATATTTGAAGGCTTTGTAACAATAATACACTAATTATTATTAATAGTCGTCCCTTCCCTATATATCAGACAATCGACTAAATTATCATAAACTCACAATTAATCTACTGTATAACAGTAAACTTACAGTTCAGAGAATGTTTTTGGTTATCAAATAAATTAGCTAAAAAATTAATATTCCTAGGGTAAAATGTTGCATCTTATATAGGAATAGTCTTTAAGATGCTGACTTTCAGAAATGTAAGCATCCATAATGTAGCATATGAATAATATCATTAATTACATGTATGCAGCGACAACATTTCGAGATTATACCAGTAGCAAGTAACAAGAGTATAATATTAACTAATTTCCCAGCATTTAACATTCAGTTTGACCTGTGATAAAGTTAATCATAGCTTGGGAATCAGTATATATATATATATATATATATATATATATATATATATGCGTGTACATATTACTGTTATTAATAATAGTACAGTCGACATCTTTCATTTCAGTGTTATTATATCTTCAGGTAAATAGACTGCGTGTTTGACCTTGAGAGTATAATTAGTTTGTACTAGATTTTAGACTGTTTTATTCTATCAGTTCATCAAAATTAGCGATATTTATTAAATATATAATTGATAGTTTTTCAAAATACACTTCAAGATTATTTACTTCTGTTAAAACTATTCAAAAATCTAAGCAAGGTTGATTTTTAAATCGATATATAAATATAGTATTATCTCGTATTGACAGTAACTTCATGAAATATTATTGACAAATACTGAACTCATTGTCGTACTGAAAATTAGAATCACTTCCACTGGTTAACCTACCTTGATGCTTTTTAAGGATATGATGACTGAATTTAAAAAAGGATATAAGTAATATTAGTCCAAAATCATGAATTATAAGGTCAATAGGTCAGAGAAGGTCTGAAAAATATTTTCTTCTTTATGTATATGAACCCATGAAAATTAACTGTTTATTATTATCAATAGTTGAAATCATGAGTCAATTGAAACTAGACCACCATGAAAAATCCGGAAGCGCCAGACGGCCGTTTCATCCTATTGTGGGACTCCTCAGCAGTGCGCATCCACAACCCCGGCGAGACTCGAGCCCAGGCCCGTTGTGAAATATCAACCCCTTGAAGACAATGGTGTACGGTGGTGCAACTTCGTGGATTGGTTGAAGTTAGACATTAACACCGCTTTATACCGGCTCAGTGGTCTAATGGTTAAGCGCTCGCGCGCGAGACGGAGAGGTCCTAGGTTCGAATCTCGCGGGGGGCGAAATCGTAGATGTCCATTGTTGGGGAGTCCCATACTAGGACGAAACGGTAGTCCAGTGCTCCCAGGTTTTCCATGGTTGTCTAGCTTCAATTGACTCATAATTCCAACTATTGAAATTTCTAGAAATCTCCACAAAACCCATTCTAACAATATTCATTATTATGTCGTAGAAATAGAAATCTGCGTACATAAATTATTTATTGTATAACAGAAATTCTGAATATGTAGAAAGCAAACATATTTCATATATATGATTAGAAATGTGGTTCCAGTACTACGCTGAAAAGTCTCAGAATTTTTACTTCGAATAATTTTTCTCTAGTATATAGGGGTCAGATGAGTCAGAGAGAAAAGTTCACTCAACCATCTACCTATCTATCGATGGCCTACTTTACTTATCTGGCTCTTTGTTATTTATTAATTTATTGCTTTGAATCATGGTCATTAGACTATGAAGGATACTGAAATCACAGATATTTTTCTAAAGAAATCTGGAAATATATTGTCTTGCGTTTGATGGAGCTTCTGTCAAGCGAGCGAGTCGAATGTGTGAGTCAAAATGAATAGGGTTAAAATGTACATATATATAGGAAAATGAGTGAATCATCGAATCAACTCAGTCACTAATAGTAAGGCTAGCAGAATGAATATATGCGTAGGCAGTAAGCAATGCTCAGACATATGTATTTATACAAGTGAAACAAATATAAAGGTACAGTGATATAAGTTGTTATTATACGGAATAACTCTGTCCGTTAAATAAGTTAACAAAAGGGCTTAACCAAATAAAATGTCAACATACTCAGTTGCACGTGAGCTGCTATAGAACGCTTAGTATCCGCCATGTCAAAATTATAAAAGAACAACACTGCATATACAACCCGTATGACCTTGGGACACAAAACTAAATTAGGAAACTAAAAGTTTGCAACTAACTAGGTAAATACAAAGGTCACTGTGGAAATACGAATTAGAAAGATGTTATCGTTGTTATACTTACAAACAAAAACTTTCATTCATCAAAGATAACTAATTCACCTTATCTTTCAACCACATATTGTTAATTTACTCTTACTCTGCTGATGTCCATTGACGGATAAATTTATTTGCTGAGATGACTTAACCTATTAAATTATGATTTTATTTATGTTAATAGGCTGCAGAGTCTGTCATTATCGACAGTGGATTTTACTGAATGTATTCAGTTACGTGTAACAATATATCAGTAAGTAGATGATACATTATACAATAAATCTGACGACTGAGAATTTATGAGTTTTCAACTAAAACTGTTTGTATTCAAACAGTAATGAAGTCAAGAAATCAATACAAATGAATTGGATGCCAGTTAGATGTAATAAACAATATGAAATTTAGAACCTATCTTATCGAATTGTTTTAAAAGTACAAAAAAAGGGATAACATGCATAAAAGGCAAGTGTTTAATCAGAAAACAACTAACCTTATTATATGATTACTTAAAACATAATTCTGCACTTGATTTGAATCCCAAATACAATATCCCCTAGTGTGATCATTACTTCCTGTCTGACTCGAATGCTTGTCCATTTGTTACTACGAGAGTATGTGCAAAACACTTTCGGGAATTACTAGCTCGTATTATTAGTAGTACTTATAGTGGTAGACGTTTGAGTACGCCAGGTATATGAGGGAAGAAGCTAAGTACATATATGTACTCACGTCATCATCCTTTTGATATCTTAAGTCTTCAGAAATTAACTTTCACAACATCTTACGGACTCATACAGTGAATTCTTATTTTTGTACAGTTAACGATAATTAAATAAGTGAAAACAATGAAGATCAAACTGCTTTCCTAATTTTTATTCTATACCGATTAGTTTACTAGTAGAAAAAAAAATCCCATTCACTGATAGAATTTGGGAAGCACTAAAGTAATATACAAATATTGCACTGGTCACTTCTTAATGGACGACCAATTGTAAATATATCAGTCCTATAGAAGGATAATCAAGACGTAAATAGCTCACTGGTAAAGTTTCATAGTGTGAAACTGGGTAACTTAATTCCAAATCCCACAGCGAAAATCCGTCCCCTCAGAATCTCAGGTATGCCTTACTGGTATGCGAACTAGCACGAAACTTCGTCCACGTCTTCCTATCGACTATCTTCAATCACCTAAAGCTTATGTCATTTTTATATCTTGAAAATGGATTTGATATAGGCCTATGATAATTGCTGATTGCCGGACCATTGAACTTATTCTTATACGAGAGGGCTTGGTGGCGGAATTAATAGAACCTCAATTGTGACACAACATTTCAACAATATTCCACTTTTACGAAACACATAGAAAAGACAGAAGTTCAAGAAAATTGATATTTAAGCCAAGTTTAAATCGTACAACTCTGTATAGATATATCAATAAAAACATGACCTTGGAGCACAAAGAAAGTTACTAAACTGAAAGTACTGACAATCGGTCAGAAAAGCGAAAAGGCTATGCGAAAATTGGAATTAGAAAAGACTCACACTTAATTATCGTTACCAGCAAGAGCTTAACGTTTAATTAAAAGAAAGATAATGCTTTGATCTCCCTGAATACTACCCAATCAAGGAGATAGTTTTTTTCATAATCTTTTCTTCACCATAATCATTAAAAAAGTAATCGAATTCAAAATTGATATTTTACAAAAAGTAGAAAACAAAAACAATCGTTTACATACACACATGAGCATAAACAAACAGATAAAGAAAAATTCATACTTTGTACAATAACGTTAGCAACAATGTTCAAATTACTGTTGAGGATAACAAATTTCTTTTACAGAAATCGGTATAAAAAGTTGCAAAACAAAAATGCTGAATTCATCTAAACAAAACAGCAAAATTCAAATAAAAGTTGTATTCATCTTTCTCTTTTAAAAATATTGAAATCTGGATAGAAAAAAATCATCTGAAAGAAAATGTTTCCGTCTTGTACTCATTTTTTTCAACAAAAAAAAAATCGTTGAGGTGAATATGAGAAAATAAGTAGAACATTTAGGAATTGACATATTGTGATAATAAACTATAAAACAGTTTTTACATTGAACACATGAATCACATTGATAAACAGAACATAACAAGCTTAAGATATGGGATGAAAATAATGGTATTATGTATTTTACCTGAATTATTGTGTGATTGAGGTAATGATGATATTTACAAATTTCTATCAAAATGGTTACAGCCAACCGCACTGGTGTATACTACTAAATCACAAACGGCATAAATAATTAGTCAGACAAATAGATAGGTAGTATCGAATTTGATGTTATTAACAGTAACAATCATAGTGATTAATTAGGTTTTAATAATGGATCTAAGATATTCGACTGTCTTGATAATCGTCCAGATGTTAAGTCCGATTCCAACTCATATAACTGCCCCATAAAGGCGAAATTTGGTGCAATCACCGAACGTTTCGATTTCACATATTGATAAGCATCGCTTAGTGACAAACTTGAATAGTTCATTAAATAAGCAATGATTAAAGCTGGTGATCTGGACACACCAGCTTGACAATGAACAAGTACAGTTTTGCCAGAGCAACGAACTTCTTCTATGGAGAGACAATTTTTTCAAAGGAAAAACATTGATGAAGTAAACAAAAATGAAACAGCACTTTTTATGAGGTGCCAATAATCATAAAATTAGAAAACGTTACTTCATTTCCCATTTCAAACAAAATCTTAGCTGTAATGACAAAATAAGTGGGTTGATGAAATCACTAGTATGATTGATGAGACGGGACGGACGATTCACTTATGCAGCAGACCCATAAATTCCAAACATGTAGATCTTAGAAAACGGAATTAGCGAAAAATTTGTTCAATCTACTAGGGAATTATAATTTTTGTTGATAAACAAACCATTCAGACAAGCTATTGTGTTGTAATATCAAGCAACAAGCAATTAATTTAAAGTTAGACATATACTTTAGCTAGTTTAGCAGAGACTGGTAAATATTTCTATTTGAATCTATACTCCATTAGTTTCAGAATTTCTATGTACATAAAGACCAACTGCAAAGTATCAGTGACCTTATTTATCTAAAGTTCATTTTATCGCTATACCCTGGAATAAGCAAGACAAGCGTTCGTGTGTCTACAATAACATGTTTATCATAATAGTCAATAGAAAATATGTAAACAGCTAATTGTTAAAAGTTTCGTGAAGACTGGTTTAATTTGTACGTGGTATTCGTAACAGATTGATCTCAGTTGAAGTGCTGTTAAAAATTAAGGAGCATTGGTAAACTGTGTGTCCTCGTAAAAACTGATTCGCCCTAATACGGGGCTTTCCTCGGTAGTAAACATCCACAACCCCACAATGTCAGGAACCTACGGTTTCCATTTTTTGTGATGAATATCTAACCAGTAAAACTACTGGATAAGCATTCAATGACACAATTTTAAGTTCAATCAATCTGAGATATAGCACGACGATTATCCAATGTTATAGATGACAACTTCCATACTTCCGCCATGTTTGAACCCCATTAATGACAACTTCTCAGTAGAACTTTAGGAATATCTTGAAGAAAGTCAGGGGCGAATTGACTATTACAGTTTAGTTGAAAACGTTTTGTGGAGATTGGTTTAATTTCTAGGTGTCAGTCGTCATTGATCTGCAATGCTGAGGTATCCTATACAAGGATGGAACGACTTTCCATTGCTCCCGTGTTTTCATTGGTACCCTAAATCAGATCATTTTGTAATGAATAATACCTAGAAAACAATATTTCGTCTCATTTTGACGTCAAATGTTCAATTCAACCATCAGATACATAATAGATTTAGGAAAAAAGTATTCGATGAGTTCAAGCTTTTATCTAGAATTTTTTACTCGAGTAATAAAGACTTTTTTTATAGGAATCATAAAGCCCAAAGAGTGCGTTATACAAAAGCAAAATAATCGATTACATGTAACCAACAGAATAAGTAAATGAATACGACAGTGGGTTGATAGATAAGAGAATAAGGTATAATGTATAGTGTACAATACGAAAATATTAAATTTTATCTAATAACCATTAATAACTATCATAAACAACTTGAAAAAATCAATATATAATGTTTTCGTTGTCTAGACACAATACGTATGTTTATTTGATGTCATGTTTACGATCAACAGAATTCGACAAGAAATGAAATAAACTGTAATAGTTATTCGTAAATGAACACCTTCAGAAGTATTTAATAAGAACATCTCTAAACAAGTGGTAACTATAAAAATATTCATGATCATTATTCATAATTTTTTTTAAAAACGATCATAGTATACTAACACTGTGTTGTCTGTTGTCGCTAGATTGTTATCTCAACGACGACAACAACAACAACAACATGAACTACTGATTAACGTATTAGATATATTTAACTTAGATCTACACATTTAAAACAAGTCTTCTATACTATTTCTTGCAAGAAGTGATCTAATGCATAGAAAATGTGTTCAGTATTTAGAGTTTAATTCATTAGGTTTTATATGAATTTCGGATATTATTACATTCAAATATGGCATATTGTATGTACATTACAATCCTGATTAAATTGTTCTAGATATTTGTTTAAGAAATTCGTGTCAATTATTTAATGTTTTGTGAATAGTTAACAAACAATTACTTCTTGAGAATTCATACATAAGATTACATAACATCCTTCCGATATAGTACATTCGTTACTTCAAATCACTTATTCCACATTATGTATACTACCGACAAAACATGATATTTTGTAGTTTTAAATTACAGATAATTACTGAAAACCAAAATTTTTTCGTTCAGTGCTCCTTAAAACGGGTACGTGATGTATAACTTCCTAATTCAACAAACTCCACAACCCAGTATACTAAGATATTCAGTGTTGTTGAATCGAATGGTTTCATTCCTAACTGATTAGTTATTAATTTTAGGTGATATTACTGCTGCACCGTAGGACATTAATATATTATAGCATTAGTTTGATGACTAACATTTCGGTGCAGTTTATCCGAGTAAAATTAATGTATACATTTGTTTTATCACATTTATTGACCAATTAGATAAATATTTCAAACTTTAGATCCATCACTTAAGTTTGGAACGATGTTAAATCTATTTAAGATGAGTCATTGTTTGTCTGAAATTCTCGTCTGTCTGTTTATCAATCACTTTCTCAAGATAAAAACAGTGACATATTTTTCCAGACTGACTCAGCATAAATAGAGGCATAACAGACAGCATTGTTATATTTTACAAATTATAAAGCAGTGAATCACGACCGAGACATGACTCATCAAATTAGTATTATTTCAAGACTATGTTTATTATATATCGAAAGAAATTAGGACGAAGACAAGAAAACAAAGTATGGTATGTAACTTGTCTGGACTTCTTCAGGGCAATAATCAAACTATTCGTTCCAATCTTGAGGAATATTCGTATAAATGATTGTCCTAGAATGCTTTATAAGTTCCATGTATATTGTACTTATTACGCCATTACACAACATGAACCAATCTCTTTCAATCCCAGTAGGTAATTTTAAATCTGAATATCTTGGAGACATTGTTTGGATTTCATAATGACTGAATTGTGGATAGACACATAGTTTGACTAGTACGTATTAATAACTATCTACATTATGTACCTGTTGCTCACCTCTACTTGAAACAATTTTGACAACGGAAGGTTTTGTTAAGAATTGAAGTTAAAAGTTGTGCACTTTACGTCTTCTTGAAGTAACTGACTCTTTACTTGTCAAATGGTGAGTGATGCAATCCACAGCAATTATACAGCCAGTTTGCATAGAAAGTTTCAACTAAGTGATTACGTAAGGAACAATCAAGTGATATAGTTGTTGAAGTGTAGCTAATTCTCACATAAATAACGTAAATACACATAATTTATTTAATGACCAAAATTTAGTGTTATTGAATATCGTACACGAAAATAAAAAATATAGAATGACTATTTACATACCGATGAATTGAAATGCTGATGTAAAATACGATCGTAAATCTTGTGAATGTGAATCGTTTGCAGGAAGACGACAGCAATTAAATCGCGATTCATCAAGAAATGGTGTTTTAATAGTTACATTTAAAATTGAATCTATACCATGTTTATTTAAAATCTTTTCACTTTGACCATCGTATTCATTCCCTAGATTGGAAAAAAGGAAGAAAAGAAAGACAAAATAATTAAGATGAAATCAAGTTTTGTGGTAATCGAGTACCAAAACATTGTACAACACAAATCCTAATGAAATTATACAATATCATATGTTTGCATATCTATGAATGAGCCTATGTAAGTATCAACATCAAGTTATACATGGTATATTAACCTGAATAAAAAACAATTCATCAAATGAATTTGTTACTGTCAGGTTTTTTCCATAGATGATGGATATGTTTTATAGGCGTACAAGTGACCAACCTTCACATTAACATAGTATGATGTTTACAATTTATAAATATGTAGCCACTATATATATTGTGCAGAAAAGTTTACACATTTGTGTCATTATTTAGAAGTACTATAAATATTATACACACATGATATTATTACACTTATCGATTTATTTATGTAATTATGGCTAACGCAGTTAAGGACAACATGTAAGCAATCTCAACTATAATAATGTGAAATGTGACAACATGAATACTTGAGCCATATCTTAATTTGTTGACAGATAGATGGGAAAATTTGACGAGACGAATAACTGAGTACAAAATTGAACTCGAACCATAGAATGGCAGATCACTGTCTACTAGTCTCGGTGTGTTACAAAAACCAAGTCTAAACAGGAAACCGGTCTGTGTGCCATGTTCGTTACAATTGATTGATTACTGGGTGGTGATCAATGTCATGTGTGTGCCATGTTCTGCATATCGATTGCAAAAGAAAAAAGAGGAGGACTATTTTCAAATGACAAATAAATACCCAGTACTAAATAGCTGTCAAAGTATAAACCCAATCCCTTCCAACTAAGTATTATGTTGTCAGATTATCTAACTTCAAACTAGGATGGTAAAATTTTCAAACTTTTTGATGGATAGAAAATTGTTTGAAAAATAACTTCGTGGACAAAGATCAAGAGCTGAAAATTTCTATGAGGATATTTTGGACATGATCTATGTGATAAAACTTTAAAATCATAATGAGTAGAACAGTGATAAACTTGGAAAAATATCACTATAAAATAAGATCTGAAAGCCCTGGCTTCGATCCTCCCAAACGGGATTCATGAATGTCCACTGTTGGGGAATCCCATAATGGGGTAAAACAAATATCCGATTTTTTTGATTTTCAGTGATTGTTTGACTAAGATCGGTGTCGTAAATGTAGGCCTTGAAATAAGATATGCATGACAGAAATTTTACAAGTTTATGTATTGTAATCAAGTTCATTTATCTCGTGAAAATTGGTGTCAGTTTTGTGTTTTCAGCAGCAGTGACATTACTCAGTATGAATTAAAATGAAGAGAGAATTGAAAGTTTAATAAAGTGGTCAAAAGTGGGTTTAAGCACTACTTGGTCACTTTTTTGAAACTTAGAGTAATGAAATCTAAGCTAACACAATATTAATATTTGACAGGCACATTAATGTATAAAACGCCATTTTGATTACAAATGATTCATATTTATGTTGGTACTAAATGTATTTACAACTGGATTGCACTGATTTTAAAATCATCATGGCATGATGTCACCGACATGATGATAATCTATGATTCCTTTATGCTGAGAGTTATCGTTCAAGTTTAAGGACTTAAATGTATTGCACATACTGTCAAGTTATTTAGACTGAGATAAGTGGAGTGGTCCACCAATGACCCTAGATGTAGTATGCCTGCATGATCAAATGTATTGTTTTTATTTTATTTTGAAAAGTGTTATTCTCTTCAGTGAACGAAATGTTTTACAAACGCCATGGTGAAACAAACAATATCTTACGTAATATATTTATGTTATTTCTACATGGAAATATAATATAACTATAACTCATCATACGAAATCATTTAATGGGATATTTTTTTTTACCTAGATATAGAAAAGGGAATATTCGACTGATTTCGGCACGAAATATATCTTTTGGATCACCAGGATCATTATCAGTTACACAAAATCCTGCTAGATTCCATTGTTTTCCAATAAAATTTGCAGTTGAGTTACAGCGGTTAATTATTGTTGAAGCTAAACTATTAGATTGTTTTACTGAATTGTGTAATCGAATCGGCTTGTATTCTGTATTTCCTGCAGACAAGCCTAAACCCGGTAACAATATTGGTGAACATTTGAATTCTAATTTTCGACACTTTATTTTTGTAAGTTGAATGTTCAAAGAATGAGCGAACTTATCCTTTATATTTCTCGACGCATTATGAGTTATATTTTCAGTGTGACTGGTTTTCGAATCATCACTTATAGATTGAGATTCGGCTAACGGCTGTTCACATAAATGATTATAAGAATTGCAAAACTCTTGAATACCGCCTGAACGAAAAAATAAAACACAAAAGAAACAAAATAAATGTTACTAAACATAATCCAAAACATGTATATGTATATATAACTCAGTCTGTAGCTCTTCTACGGTTCCTCGTGGTCCCAAGCCCGGGTAAAGGAGGAAGCTTGGAATGAGGTCAGCAACCCCATCCAGTAGAAAACAACCTTGCTAAAAATGCTAAAGATTGAACAAATTAAACCATTTGTACTCTGCCCTGAGAGTTGAAGAATCTTCATTCAGAAGAATTATGACGCCTCATGGTGAAAGTCGAGATTCTTCGGTAGTCATGAGGCCGATGCCCCTTTCTAACAACTGGAACAACAATTAATGTAGGTACACGGAGTATCCATACAATTTGGGAGACTGGGAGGACCAATCATATTGTTACGGAAATGAGGAGATACAACTTGGTTCTCGGAGCCAGTGAAATCATTGGATCCAACATGGGCAGAAGACGTTAGATTTCAGAGAGATGCTGCTATACTCCGGTCACGAAGAAGAAAATGCTCCATACACTCAGTGAGTTGCTCTGATGGTGTCCAAAGAAGCGCGAAATGCACTTATGGAATAGGAATCTCATGGATCCAAGATCATGAAAGCATCTTTCAAAAAAAAGAGGAAATTACAATGAATGTTATCCAATGTTATGCACCCACCAATCATGGAAATGATGACGATAAGTCAGTTATACGTGGGGCTGCAATCGATCAAAGTGAAATGTCCAGGAAAGGACCTAACCATCATAATGACAGAGACCTAAGAGTCAACGTAGGAATGGACAACATCCGATATGAAGATGTCATACGACGACATGAACTGACTAGGGGAAAAGAATGAGAATGGTGAGAGAATTGTAAAGTTATGTACACTCAACAAAATGGTTATAGGCGGCACAGTATACCGCGACAAACGCACACACAGAGCTACATGGATCTCACCGGACCACACAACACAGAACCAGATTGATATATTTGTATCACTAAAAAATTCACAAGGTTAATGGAAGATGAACGAACGAAAGAAGGAGCTAATATAGCTTCGTACTACTACTTGATGGTTCACTACAGCCTTCTTTCAACATATTGACAAACTCAACGAATTCAAGGTGGCTCACAATAACAAGTTCCTAGCACTACAAGATCTCAAAGACGAAGAAACTACTATGGTGGACAATAGGAAAGGGATCAAATAAACACTAACTTCAACGTCTCAGGAGGTTCTGGACCGCAAGAGGCATCATCAAAATGAATGAATCTCTCAATAGTGTTACTCGACCGGACGAAAGGTTCAGTAGATGTCCAGCTCTGAGATAAACAGGCTGGATTCTGTAAGGACCGATCGTGCACAGACCAAATCGCGACATTACGAATCATTATTGAGCAATCGATTGCATGGAAGTCGCCAGCATACATCAATTTCCTTGACTGTGAGAAAGCGTTTGACATCTTGGACAAGGGAATGTTATAAAATTTTTTTCGACACTATGGTGTACCTGAGAAGATCAATATCATACGAGATTAATACTATAAACCACACTACAACGTCGTGCATATAGGAAAGATGACAAACGCATTCAAAGTGAGGGCCGGAGTCAGAAAAGGCTGCTTACTCTCCCACTTTCTCTTTCTTCCAATGGTCGAATGGATTATAAAGACCTCGACATCTGGGGGGGGGTGACACGGAATAAAATAGACAACCTGGATGCAACTAGAAGATGTAGACTTCACAGATAACCTAGCTCTTCTATCCTATGCACACGAATAAATGCAAGTGAAGACAAAAACTGTAGCAAAAGCCTCTGTCTGCAGCATTAGGCCTCAACATACACAAGAGAAAAAGCAAAATCCTCAAATATAACACGGAGAACACCAACACAATCACACTTGATGGGGAAGCTCTAGAAGATGTGGAAACTTTCACGTACCTGAACAGCATCACAGATGGACAAAGAGGATCCGATGAAGACGTAAAGGCAAGGATTGGTAAAACAACAACAGCACTCCTACAGTTGAGGAACATATGGGACTCAAAACAAATGTCTGCAAGCCAAAATCAAAGTGAGAATCTTCAATACGAACGTCAACACAGTTCTACTGTAAGGAGCTGAAGCTTGGAGAACTACCACATTCATCATCAAAAAGGTACGAGTATTTATAAACAGTTGTCTAAGTAAGATACCCAACGTCCGTTGGCCGGATACCATCATTAACAGCCTACTGTGAGAGAGAAAATACCGAACTCCAAATGACGGAAAAGTTAGTAGAAGACGTTGAAGATGAGTCGGACATTCATTGTGGAAATCACCAAACTGTATCGCAAGGTAAGCCCTAACTAGGAATCCTGAAGAGAAACGGAAAAGAGGAAGATCAATGCAATGCGTTGAGTTGGAGATCGGAAGTAGACATGAAAAGGATGAATAGGAACTGGGAAGAAACGGAAAGGATTGTCCAGGATAGAGTTGGATGTAGAATACCGGTGGGCGGTCTATGATGTCTCATGATGGGTAACAGGAATTATATTTATATATATGACTTGTCAAGTACAAATCAGGGTACTCAGGCCTGATCCCTACATATTTTGCTATGGTGAACGTTCAACCGTGACCCATTTATCTTGATTTAATTAACTACGGAACATTGCTGTCCAACAAGTAAAATGTGTGGTTAAAAGCCAAGCACATAAACCAGTAGTTGCCAAATACGTTATCTGAGATTTTCGTAGCTGAGACCAATATTTTATTTATAGCTGACCTTATCAAATATTGCGAAATTTTCAGTAATTTAAAAATACATTAGTGCATGTGAGTGTCATTCTAATGTGCTATTATATTGTTATTTGGCAACTGGTCAATACACTGAGTGTATCTGTAAAACAAATTCATTTATGTTACTACTAATTATAGGAGCTACTATTATTGTTTCAAATTTAACTTATAAGCTTATAACTGAGGCATGGACGGTCGATAAACCTGAAACATGACCAACCCAGGATTATTTTAGTGTTTAGGATATTCTGTGAATGACCAATAGTAAAGTTATTTTCCCAACTTCGGAACTATCCAGTACTGAATACCAAACAGCTAACAATCAAACGTCTAAATCTCACAATAAACACTAAATAAATCAGTCCCTATATTGGAATCTAATGCTTTATCTATTCGTAAATTTTTGCACTATATGTCACTCCCAATATGACATTTATTATACTATCGTTTAGAACTTCACGATGTTGAGTCCCAAACAAGTAATCATTCATTGCTAGATGGAAATTCACCTAACTAAATATCTCTCTAGTCTAAATAAATGTCGCCCAAAATATGGCGATAACATTGTCTTTTAAAACTTTATAGTGGTACGTCACAATCCTGACCTTGACATATCACCATTTTAAATAATAATATTAAAGTAGAAATTAACGAGACTATGTTTACTATTTTATCAGTTTGTAGTGAAATGTATGTTATCAAAATGTTTATATCTATATATATGAAGTCATTTTATTTTATTTTATTAACTCAACACTAATAAGACAGAAAACAAACTTATTGGGTATTAAAAGAAATGGCTTCACCAAAAAGTACTTCAGTTTAACCTATATCTAGTAATGCACAGTGATAAGCAACTTCCATATTACGATTTCTGATATCTACTTAGTTGAAAACGACGAAGATGAATGCTTGCTGGCAGCTTATATTGAGCGAAGATCTACGTATTAAGAAACATTTTGTGGTTTTAAACTAAAATTTGGAAAACGTACGATAGTGAGTTATTATTATTATTATTATTATTATTATGTGTCTCAAACTAGAAAATAAAACCATATGGACGTTTACAATATTCAGTAGCTAATTTCAAGTTAAGATCCACTCCAATATCTACAATCTATTAAAATATATTAACTTCGCCTGAAACCTTTCTCGGGTTTACCATTTCCAAGCCCGGATAAGGGAGGGTTGGGCATAGGGTTGGTAATCCCGTCCGTAGAAAACAACCTTACCAAAAATACACTAACAATTGAAATAAATTTTTCTCTTATCTTCATCTAAATGAATCTATTTTATATCTTAAGGTTTGAACTGAACACTTTACTAATCACATGATGAAATCAATAAACTAGTAATGTCAGAAACAAACAAATAAATTGCTATAATTAGTAAGTTTTTATTAAGTCTTACATTAACTAATAGGCACAAGTTAAACCCTATAAAGACATATTTTACTATTCGTGAAATATGTATCCCATGAAATGTGCTTTTACACTTAAAACTAGTGTATTAAGAAAATCAGCTTATAAGAAAGTGTTTATTTTGCTCAACAGAAATACAGTTAGCAAATAATTAAACAAAAATATGGTTTGTGAGCTGTATTCGTCACAGATTGATTTCGTTTGACGAACCACTTAAAATCAGGGCCACTTAATAGCTATTTCGCCCTAACATAAGACTGTTCTGAAATGGTCATCCCCGACCTCACCTGGAATCTTACCTAAGAATAAGATCTAATAATACGACTTCAAATTCAATCGATTTGAGATATTGCACAACGATTATCCAATGTTATTGGTAACAACTATTCTACTTTCGAAGTTACTGAACTCCACCAATTCTTATTGATGCTTCAAATGAAATCAATTTCTAACGAATATAACCTACAAAGCAATCCAATCGTCAACAAAGCAAGTTGAAGACAACAAAGAATAATTTAGTTATCTAACCAAGTTTTGAATCGAAGTTTTTAGTATGATACTAAGGTTTTAAAAAATACTCTCACTGAACACTTGAATGTATACACGAGACCTTAATCTTTGGAGTTTGCTTCTCAGAGATTATACATAAAATACTGAGTACACTTTTATTTTATGAGGGATGTAGTCAATAACATTTTTTTTCATGTGACACATACATGACAATAAACATGTAAAGTTTTTTTAAATTGAAACAGATTCCTCTAATCTCGATTACGTTATAATTATATTAAAGATACTAACAAAAAATTAATATTTATAGGAAGCGATGCATGTGTATAAAATATATTTCAGTTACCTTTGAGGACTCTTGCATCTAAATGATGAACATCAATCAAGTGTTTAACCAAGCAGTGAAGAAGATCTTTTAACATAGGAAATCCACCGATATCAGAATCAGTATAGATGATTATTAAACGGTAGTTAGGTTGGTAGTCCTTTAGATTATGAGTATTAAAACATTGTTCTCTAGCACGTAAATAATTATTTAGCACTGGCAATGCACGACGTAACTTTACACGAGATTCACATGGTATGCCGATTGCTGTTTGTATTCGTAAATTAGCTTGAGAGGCAAGACTTCTTATGTCAAGTATGAGCGGTACACATTGTTTACATGAATAGTTTGAGGTTAGTAATGAAGCCAGTTCATCACAATCAATAAATTTTATGCCTGAACTAACAGGATTATTGGCAGATTGTTTGTTTTCAGATGGATAATTTACTTCAATTGGTGATAGAATATCCAACGGAGTTGATGTCATCTGATTACTTAACGTCAAGTGGTGAACTGATTCCAACTTCAGGCGTTTTCCTTCATTTTTACATTCTAAAATCGTTTCATCAGCATCATTCTGTGATGACTGTTTGCATGTTCGTTTTTGACCGATATTTTCGGGCACTACATTCATCGTTAATAAATTGCGTGGTAAATTTTTCTGAAATCCAACACTTTGACAGCGAATTGTCATTGTAATGTTGGTAGTAAACCCAGCCGCTCCGATGGACAGTGCGCCGACTATCTATGGTTGACTCTTATTTATTGTATCTGAAGGTCATATTTTAATACACCAATAGTCAATTAGTTTTCATAATCCTATGCTAAAATTTAATTGGTTAAAATACTTGTATGTGCGATTGATTACGGGTGTTAGATGACGAAGATAAATGTGATTTAGATCAGTCACATGGATTATCTAGTGATTATTAGGTAGACCATAACTTGATTGACATTTCATAAGAAAATATTCTTTACAAAATGGTCATTTTTATTTCGTTCATAATTTGCTATTTACTGATGAATTTTTTCTTTCAAATTTTCTATCGGTAACATGGATTTTGGGTGAAACTTCATAAATTTTTCATTAGATTAGGTTATCCTTAAAGTTAGTTCGTCTATTTTCAAATGTACTGTCAAGGAAACTGAAATCCGATTCGTTACCCAATTACTCTGATAAGTAAAATGTATGAATATTTATTGCTGACTAGGTTTTAACTAAATTTCGATTCATTAGCTGAGTTGTATCATATTCACCCTTGTAAATTAAGGGTTATGTCAACACGAATTTAAGGTGGAACATCTGCACCAGTGCTTTCGAATCTTCAGTGACTTTACAATTAATATCAACCTGCGATGTTAAGCATATAAACAGCTACTTAAAAGGTAACCGTATGTCGTATGAATATTCTTCTTAAGACATCAGCTTTTGTTTTCTCATCGTTAATCAGTTTTGAAGAATGAAGTAGAACTTTGAAAGAAGCTTCGTTTGATTAAAATGTACTGCGGACTGATCTAAGGTGTTATCCTCCTGTTTGTTAGTTAAAGACATGGAGTTTGAAGTGATAGGGTGGTTGTTGGAGGTAGTCGACGGAACCCTGTTTAAACCTAGGTTTCGTGCAGTTTGGCACTTATCAGCAACGTGTACCTGTGGTCCTGGGGTAACTGGTGCTCCCTGATGAACTCGACGCCGATCACTCGGCTTCATCGTCACAGATGTTACCACTGAGCTATCCGTGCGGCGAATGATCTTCTTTAGAACTGAGATTTACTTAAAATTGATTGGTCATTGGGTGGTGACCATCGGTCAAGTCAATTGATATATCGATTAGTGAATATCTAGTTGATTCTGATCATTTATCTCCACAAGAACCCTCATTAGAAATTATTCACAAAATAAGACAAACTGGTGTAAAGGGAAACCGGACATTATTCGTTAGCATTTCATCAGTTCAGGCACGATCTTAGAATTTAGAAACGGTACATCCCATAGTTTACTGTAGTACTAGCGTTTATTATTTTAGTTATTTCTTGACATGTGCTTAGTTTCTCTTTCTAATCTTTTATTCTTCAAGTATATAATTATCTTTCACATCTTTTTCTAAATCTTATTTTGATGTATGTTCGCCCATACTTTTATTCTTTATCTAATCGTCAATTGAATAATCTTTCATATTTTATATCATCCGTTTTACCCTTTGACTTTTGCGTAACTTTAATTTCTTAACGGCCCTCAGCACCTCTATTATTGACATAACAGTTCTCTGGTTTTACTATGGATTGTGTAAAAATTAACTGTAAATACAATTATACAGCTCTAGTAAATAACATCGTTGAAAACAAAATTTTCTTCACTGAGACGTTTTTATTTTGTTGATAGACTCGATGGGTTTCTACGATAATTAAAAGTATTCGAATTAATGTAATAACTAAGAATTTATGAAGAGTGAAATTTAAGGGAGGTAGAACTAGATGAGCACAAATGGAAATTCGTAATCAGTGGGTAATCAAGTATAAATGAATCATGAGTTCATACAGATACCACGGTTTCTTTAGTTAGTTTCAGTCAACCTTAACTGCATTGCTGAAAGTAACAGATTATCGAAAGCACATTATGATTTTTATGAGTATAAGGGGCATGAATTTGCAATACGTTTCCGTTTCAATTCTCATCAGATATGAAGTATCTAACATTTTTCGATCCATTTAATGAGTGAATGCGGCATAAAAGAATATGATTTTCACCAAGCATTTCATTTCAGGCTTTAACTTTTACTTCGCCTTTTGCTTTTCTCATCCAGAAAGTTGGGAGACACTACAGTGGTGTGTTCACGGACAACATTTGTAAGCAGCTTTAGATGATTTAAAATGAAATTCCTAGTGAAGATAACACTACTTTCCAAATATATATTCAAATGTGGAACACATAGATATTGGTACAAGGAGGAACCAAATAGATATGCGCCAAAAAAATTTCATTTGATTTGTGTGGGGGCTGTGATACTGCTCGGGTGTCTAAACCAAAGCAGGTAGTTTTCCTAGGGGGCCATACCCGGAATCTTCGACCTAAAGGTCTGATACAAAAGGGAGTGGAGCATCGTAAAGAGATACAGTCCCATGGTAACCGGTGACCAATGATTGGTTCATACGCCATTTGTTCACTCAGGACACTGGAGCCCATATGCGCGATTGGTTTGAAATCAGGGTTTTCCAACTCCCCTAGTTGAATCATCCATACCCACCAACCTGGTCAAATCGCCGGACATTCACTTTTCGTTCTCTCAATTTCGTAAATAACACCCACGCCACGAGAAGGCAGTGAGTAGGACTTCCCTGGCAGAGGCTATTTACTCGTGGCCATGTGAGAGCATTTCGAGAGGGAGAGTTGACTCTCTCGGCCGTACCAGGGCATTTCGGGGCAAAACTCTCCCGCACTGGGAGTGGACACGGGCCGCCTGAGTGAAAACCAGGAATCTGAACCGCTAGACCACGCGAGACATCTTCAAACTCCTTCATTTCAATTAAAAAGGTGTTACGGACAAAGCGTTGTCAAGCTCTGAATATCCATGACATCTCTACACTTTTTATCCCTTACATTAGAAAATAAGAATATACATGAAGTTTACCTTCTATCTCCAGATAGTAAGGAAATTTGGTCTCACACAGCATATTTTTACAATTTATGGACTTATACAGGGTTCATAATCAATTTTCTTTATTTGAGGTAAATGTTTATAAGGATGCAAATCAATTTCCTTCAGGACCTTATTATAAAACAAGTTTTTTCTTGAAATAAATCAACGTATATTTGTTGTTTATGTGTACTATTACAATATACACACATTTTCTCGAGCATTTATACACTGAAACAGTTCCTGCTATCCTAAACATCACTGCTAGAATGAATCGTTTAAAACAATTCGCTTCGAAAAGACAGACTATCAACCATTCACTGCTGATCAACACAGTTAATATCAAAACAAGTAAATAACATGGATATTGTTACGTTCATGCTGATTTTATACTCTATTGTGGCATTCAGGTTTTATCTAGTTAATCCCAAGAGTTTCAGGCTGCATGGTCTAACTTGAGAGTCAGCTGCTACCAAAGATCACAACTTAGTCACTACGGAATCTAAGTGGGACAACTACGGTTATCAGTAAATTTTCACTTTATCCGTCTTGTAAAGAAACAATAGAGGACTACATACAAAATCATGAACTGAATAAATTATTCGATGAATTAAATATTTTGGGGGTGAAAGTGATTGTAAAGGTTTTCAGATAAAGCCAATCATTAACCCATGAACAGTTAATATCAATTTTAGAATTTCATGTCAGAAATATGAAATCTCCATTTGAAATCTGGTTGGTCTTTCAGTTTAATATATTTCCATTAAAATCGCTTTAGATGTAAAAAGACAGTGTTTACTTGACGGAATAGCATATTTTCCAGACGAATGAGTTAAGGTTATCCGAAGCATTTTCAATGTTCACTAGATCTATCCCATCCAGTAATTTCTGTCATTTTTCTATTCATTTAGCGGGGGAAGTCCTGTACATTACAGTTTAGTTTTTATAAAAGATTTCAAAACAAGTGACTGGAGTTATCCACTACTGTCTGCTATCAACATGTCCAGTGTAGCACTATCCAGCATCCTGGATGAAAAACACAGATACAGTTGAAGTTAGGCTTTCAAGCAAAATTTTGCGTGAAGAACATACCCTTACCTCACCAGACGTACGGAAATATGGTTACGAGCATTAAATATAGAACATTTGTCATAAATTGATAACACTGTAAACGATCTTAGACTATGAATGCTGAACAAATTTTAAAAATAAATAATCCGAGTATGGTAGTATTTTTAGTCATCAATTTATAATGCGAGTGGAATTTCAGGATTTACAATATCTATAAACCGTACTATATTTACGAACTCTGTATCGTTTCACAAATATGTTTGTATAATTTAGATATTTTGTATTAGATATAATTTGTATGATAAATACTTAACATAAAAGCTGTTATACGTTGGAGAAAAAATCAAATACAATTGTGTTCCATTAGACATTAAAACATTCACTTCATAACTGGTATAAGGCATCAGTACCTATCTAAGACAGATAATTTTGTTTAAAAATTCTAGTTTAATCAAAACTAAGCAAACTTATTTGGATTTAAAAGTACATAGAATATCAAACATTGGAATTTCAATTATCTAAAACATTCAAATTTAATTCCTACAGTTTTATTCAAACGATAGTAGTGTAAGCCAAACAATAGTAACCTAGATTTTGTAGTTTATTGTGATATAATGTTATGACAACGAATCAAGGTTAAACATAGATGCATAAAATAAACAACAACAATAATAAACGTTCTAAGTATTATGACTCATCAATTTTTATCTGTTTACTAGAAATTAATGGTAGGTTATAATGTATCTATTGATTGAAACGTAAACTTTCAGTGTTTGGGATAAGTTTCTAAGTTTTAGTATAACTAATTAGTAATTATTTATTCATTATATTTTTATTTGAATACATAAATAATAGTACAAAAGGGCACCGAATACATATGCACCACACAATTCACTTCGTTTGTGTGTGGGCTGTGATATTGTTCAGGTGTCCAGATCGAAGCAGGTAGTTTTCCTAGGGGGCCATACCCGGAATCTTCGACCTAAAGGTCTGATACAAAAGGGAGTGGAGCATCATAAAGAGATACAGTCCCAT